CCATTGTCAAAAATTAACGCCTCTCAAACGGACACGTCTGAATATCAAATTAAGCCTGGGTTATTAGACTAAAGTGGCAGGCTTTATGACTTCCTCCGTAGGATATAACAGTTAAAATGGAATAAAAATTTAGCGCAAAAAACATATATAAAATCTTGTTTAGTTGATTTCCAGTTAGGAAGATAAATGTCTATATTTATACAATTACGCTTTGAAAAGTAATGACCACTCGCGTAATTGGTTGCCCATTAATCTCTCATTTGTAACACGAAAATTGATGGTATCCAGCATAAAACAGTTTTTACAGCTTTTATGATTAAGTCAAAATCGTCAATCTTTGAGCGGAATACAGCCAATCGACTCCAGAGGCATGATTTCGCCCATTCAACCAAGTGGCATACGGATAGAATAGCATGCAGTCAAGTCTTACTGACCTGTGAGGCATGGAGCAAAATCTCGTATAAGGCGGGAGATTTTCGCGTTCAGTCGCTGCCTAGCCTCCTGGCTGAGACCATCACCATCAGCCCAACCTCCGTCAACTCCGGCGGTACAGCCATTGGCAGACTCAGCAGGCGTTGTTAGTCCACCTTGATGATCTGACAGACCTGACAGGCCAGCTCTTTGGGTGTATACCTCGTTGCGTAGCAAAAGAACAATGGCGGGCAGACCAGCTGATTCGAGACGGCGTAGCGCAGGTCCGCCAACATCGAGTAGACAATGCCGCCGGGCGATGGCCAGCTCGAAGACGGAGCGTAAGTGTGTACCGTACAAGTTTCCCTTATACTCCCCGGCTTCAATATAGCACTGCGACGTAATGTCGGCCTCCATTGTCGACCGACTAACAACAAAATGGTAGTCCCGGCCTTCGATTTCATTTGGCCGACGAGGTCGAGTAGTGTCTGAATAAAGTTCGACAAGAGATTTAATGCGAATTGAATGATTGAATATAACCGCTAAAAACCGCATCATTTTGACCAACTTATAGCGATGCATTACGCCGAATAGATACAGCGCTACGTAGCAACCAGTAAAACATGATATATTCCTTGTGAAGATATGGCCGATGGTAAAACACATTGAATATGCGAGACATGGAGGAAGTTTTTTACGGATGGTTGCACAGGATAAACAGACATTATTACAATGGAACGCTCGTAGTTGAAAGGTATTGCGTATTCATTTAGGAAGACTGGAATTCAATTTGAAGGAAAAGTGGGTTGGGAAGGATTTGTAACTGTACCTCATAGTAACCTAAAAGAAGATTAGAGGTTGGTGAGATGTGCAAATAAGTCATTGGCGCACCGACCCGCGATACCGATCCATCCGTACTTTGCGTTCACCAGTCTTTGGGAAAACTTCACAAAACAATTAGGCGAAAAATGTACTTATCCCTTCTAAGCAACTTGTTTTCTCAAATGAAAGGTCCAGTGACATTGTACAGATAGTCCAATATTTCGGAATTAATGATTAATCAAAGACTGTCTCTAGGCTAAAATCTGGTATTCACTTGCCCATTAAGTCTGTTTATCCTTGCGGACAATAGGAGTTAGATATGATTGCATATAAGCCGATTAGTCTTTACTGAGAGACATAGAAGAGGTCTTCGAACACTAGTACTATTGTCGAAACTCTCGCGCTACATATGTATATTGAAGCAACAGAAAATGGGACCATTGAAGATGTCATCATGTAGACTAGCTCTGCTAATTGCCACCATTTTGTTGTTAAAGATGTGAAAAATAGTTAAGGCTATCTTAAAAAGTGATTTTATTTGTGAAGTCCTTTTGTGATAAACTTCAATCAATCCATGTAGCAGATAAGAATTGAATAATGTCATGCAAATATTTAAATAAATGGTTGCTTTCCAAACCAGTCGAGTAACCCGACTGGTTTGAGGGTACCGATTGTAGGCATTGTAGGCATCTATCAAGTAGAAGGAAATCCGTTTCACCTACATGGAACACAGGTACCGAATTTTTCAGGAAATTCGCAGATCAAGTCGTCTGCAATCCGGTCCTTCATCGCACCTAAAATAGCCACCGGTCGAGTATGCTCGATAAGGACAGGCGAAACGGCGATGTAGGAGAGCATGGGATCCTCATGGGGCTCGTTTACTGGCAAAGAGGTAGGCAGGCAAAAGGTACGATAAAGACAAATTATAAACACAAACGAAGCCATACGATCTAATCGAAGCTAGTAGTATCGGCTAGATTGTTTAAAAATGTGTAGAAAAGCGGGAAGCAAGCAAAAGCATGATTTAAAAGCTTTCCCAGATGTGGCAAGAAGGAAAAAACTGAAATCAGTGCTAAAAGTTAGCTGAGACTAGCGATGAGGGGTGATTCAGGTGAACCATGTATGCTCAAACAGGCTCTTTCAACTCTAAACCAATTTGTGAAGAGACAAGGCTGGTGAAAGCAGCTCTGGAGTAAGACATTATTGGATAGAATGAGGGTAATTATACTATTATATGCGAAAAAAGGTTGGGTTTCGAGGAATCTCTTGTTTCATAATTGTTGAGAGTTTGAGTGTTTAGTGAATAGATTCGAAGGTCGACGGCGGATTCCTCTTGATCAGCTGTCGATTGGCTTTACTGGAAAATTTATTGGACGCTGTTTCCGATGTAATCATCTTCGATTCCGGTGGAAAGGTGCTAATCTGTCGTCCGTCATATGACGAACATCATCAGAGCAAGATATCATCGTCACAACCAAGATCAAGCTAACGAGTCAAGAAAACTCACCGGAAAATCCCTAAAAAGTGATATATATACTCTTTGATCAGGTATAAAGTGATGTGGTTAGTTACAGTTAAATGCCAACCTCGAAACCTGTGAGTGTGTCTGTCTCTGTATGTGTATGTGCCTGTATGCGTTCGCTTATGCACGAAACCAGTAGTGATGGCTTAAAGTTATTAGGAAAGCAAAAGTAACGTCTGCTCTCGGCCATCAAGGTTTGACGACCACTATCTGCCACTTTCTACATAGACGTTATGATCATCGCTCCGATTGCGCAAGATCGGACACACGTTTGGTTTTGTTGATGAGCCTATTTTTTGTTTACGCTCTTAATGCGAGAACGAACGAGTGAGGTAAGAGTACAGAGAAGTGAGCGTGATTATAAACAAGACAAGAAAAGAGTAGTTGCGTCGCCTCCTTTTTGCAGGCGGCTCAACTCTTCTATCCTTGAGTCTATTACTTAATACGAACAAAAAGTTGGTTTCGATGAATCTCTTGAGATAACATTGTTAGGGGAACTTTCATTTCGTATGAATGCATGAAGAAGAGATTCGTTGGTCGATCTCACCAGATGAAGACGGATGAATCTTGTTGTACTGCAGCCTTGTATGATGGACATCATCAGAGTTGGGTTCATTCTTGTAAAAGGCTTTCGTTAACACTAGGCCAAGAAGACTATCCGGTTTTATCTTACCTCTTATATAGACTCAGTTAAGGCGAAAGAAAATTACAAATTAAAAACCTAGATTGATATAGAGTGGTTTGGCCAATTATCTTTCATACTTGTCCTGCTAATTTTGCTCGAGTGTGTGCGTGTGTGTGTTAGCGTCTATACGCAATACCGGTCGTAAATCAGAGTTATCAAAAGGTTAAAGTTAGGCTCTGGCCATCAAGGCATAATGACCTCAAAGAGATTCATCCGTCCTCATCAGGTGAGATCGACCAACGAATCTCTTCTTCATGCACTCTTATACAAAATGAAGATCCCTCTATTACTTAAGCACAGGTAATTTTAACTTATCCTCTCGCCTGTATTCCTTACATTCAATGTATTTCCTATTCGGTTTATTTCGATGACTTCTTCAATTTTACGTTTAGCCGCAAACATGCCACAATCAGCAAAATGAGAAATTTGAGACGATTAAATCTGGTGTAGGAAATACATCGAATGTTAGGAATACCGGCAAGAGGATCAGTAAAAATCACTTGTGTTTAATTGATAGATTCAAGGATAGAGATGGTATTGAGCCGCCTGCAAAAATGAGGCGACGCAACTAGTCTTTTCTTGTCTTGTTTCTAATCACGGTCACTTTTCTGTACTTTTAGCTCACTCGTTCCTTCTCGCATTAAAAGCATAAACAAAAAATAAGCTCATCAACAAAACTAAACGTATGTCCGATCTTGTGCAATCGGAGTGATGGTCATAACTTAAATGTAGAAAGGGGGAGATAAGGGTCGTCAAACCTTGATGGCCGAGAGCAGACATTACTTTTGCTTTCCTAATCACTTTAAGTCATTACTGCTGGTTTCGTGCACAAGCGAACACAAACAGGCACATACAAGTACACAGACAGACACACTTACAAGCTTCGAGGTTGGCAAACAGGCCAGATGTAGAGTAATATATACCGCTTTTTAGGGATTTTCCGGTGAGTTTTCTTGACTCGTTAGCTTGAATTTGATGGTAACGATGATATCTTGCTCTGATGATGTTCGTCATATGGCGGACGAAAACTAAGCACGTTTTCACCGAAATTTAAGGAGATTACCTCGAAAATAGCACCACCATGAATTTTTCAGTAAAGCCAATTGACAGCTGGTCAAGAGGAATCCGCCGTCGTCTTCTGATGGAATCGACCTTTGAACCTTTTCACCAAACACTTTCACTCGAAATGGAAGTAAGCTCAACAAGTATAATATTACCCCAGCTAGCATTAATATCGTACTTGAGGTACTTTATAATAAAAAGTAAAGTTACTTCCATCAATAAATGTTTTTAGTAGGGCATCATAAGAGCATTGTCTTATTTCCGGCAATTTTGCATGCAAAATTAGCGAAAATGAGACTGTCTTAGGTTTTAGAATTGTACAGCCGGAGTTGGCATACGATTATTTCCATTGGCATGAAACGCCATCACAAACAAACAGCCAGTTTATGTAAACATAAAAATGGTGAGATAATGTCCTTGTAGTGTTGCGTGAATCGTATTCTCATCATAGACGCCACTTATTATCAAATTGGAATGGCGCAAAAAGAAAATAATTTTTCCTATACGCCTATTTTTTCCTTCCCATAAAATTCCCACACTTCCTAACGTGTAGGCTACGATCGATTGAATTAATCTGTTTTCTTTTTATGCTTGTGCTGCCCCTGAACGTGTACAATTTTATCCGTCTACGAGACAAAGCTGAGGAAGGCAGAGACTACTTCTTAAGATAATCTATGAAAAATACTAATTCACTATATAATGTATGTGATTTCAGAGGTGCCTGAATTTCGTGTGTGCACTCACGACCGAGCTATCTTTAGTTAAACCATCAGAGGTTGAATTAAGTGAGACATCCCTTGCGAGAAATCCTTTGGTACGCCCTTCTGAGGCCTTGGCTAAAATGTGCTAATATTTCGTCCCTTACTCAACATTAATTGTCCAATATTAGTAACAATCTTCCGAGAACCCTTTGAGGAGTTGTAGTCATCACCACGATACTCACGACTCGGTTACAAATCATGCTACGGATGTTGATGAGACCCAGGTGGGGTCAAAACTTCAGTCCACCCTAAATGAGTCCACGCAGAAAGGTTACCTTTTTTTGAGGCAAGGCCAAGTTAAATTCAATTCTAATTACAGGAAGCCTAAGAGATCAGTCCTTAAATCACCTTAAGAAACATATGCTGATTAAATTTTGTGCAGGAATGGGTAATTATTGTTTTTTTCTTTTTCCACACCTTTGTCTTCATGACCAAAATCTGGTTGAAAGGCCAATGGATAGAACTTATGCATCAATTTGAAGGAGGGAGAGAAAAATAAATAAAAATAAAAGCAGTATTCACCCTAAATCGAGTTTTCCTGCAATTATATGAGTAAGTTTTTCGTTTCCACTAATTTGCACA